AAGGCTGGATTTGATGGAGCCTCATGGCACACAGTGATTTATCACTTCTTACTCTCCCTTTTGCTGAGGAAAGCTGCTGTTTATGTAAATGTCATTGTTGCTTCTTTGTGAGATCACAAATAGTTTGCAGTAGTCGATATAAAGAATAAAGGAACTCAAACGGATTTGGAGAAAACCAACTTCTCGACAACAGAAAATTGTACAAAAAGCGGAATGGAGGACAGATACACTGCCTACAAGTGCAAACACACGCTGATTGATGCTGCACGATTCAAAGTGTGTGCATGTGTGTGCGTGGGACCAAAAAAGAGGCAAGCAGGAAAACAGAATGTGCTCACACTGAAAAGACCAAATTCTCTGAGCATCACGAGACAAGTGACAGAAAGCCAGACTTTCAAAAGGCAGCACAAACACTGACTGGTCATGCTCCATCAAATCTACATTTTAGGAGAAAAGCACCTCTCCAAAAAACATGGGAACAACATGATTTCTGTAGTCGTGCAATCCTGCAAAAACTAGGCTAATCTTCTCCGGTTTATTCTGAGATTCGGCTGTGTAGAATAAACCCCTTTAATATAGCAAATGGAGGGGAACTGGGCTGGCATCAAAGCTGGATCCAAGGCTTCAAGCTTTAAAGAGAGGAGAGATAACTTACTATGTAAATGTATTCAATACAGAGAACTAAAAGGCTGCAGAGACTCCCCTCCAAACCCAGCTCACTTACATAACCACACCAACAAATCTGAACCTATTTTAAATGATCATGGAATCAACTTGTAAATAGTCATCCTGTGTGAGGCAAAATCAGAGAGAAAATTCTACAATGTTTGGTAGGTACAACAAACCGTGTTGGTGAGGGGGTTCAGTTAGGGGGGGGGGGGTTGTGTATTAAAGGAGGTCATAGCCAGGCAGTCAAACAATTTGTCAGCCATCATAAGGCCAAAGGCTGCCTCTCTCCAAAAGCAATTGGTCTTTCTCTGTGAGGTAGTGCTTCGTCTGCTGAGGTGGATATATTGGTCTTTTTGCACCATCTACCACACTGTCCCATTATTTCCTCCCTGACTCAGGAAACAAGTGATCAATGCCCTGAATACTGCAAGTCGTTCTTCTCTGTATCAGTACACCGCTTCAGGAGAGTCACTGCACTGTCACAGTGAAGGTCTGTGGCTCCAATCTGTTTTCACCTCTTAGAATGCAACAATATGCCATCATTATACATTGAGGCCTGTCCACCAATCAGCGACAGTAGCTGTGAAATACTTTTCGCTCACCTTTCTTGGTGAGCTGAATGTTTGCCTGCCGCCGCCCGTTGCCATTCTCCACATAGCAGGAGTAGTTCCCCAGATCAATTTCCTCCAGAGAATCTATGGTCAGATAGATAGAAACCTCCTGCTCACCGAGGTGCTCCCGGATCGTCCTGCAGAAGGAGAACAATTGACAAAATGAGCGACAAAAACAAAACTGAACTTTAGACCGCTTTCGTTAAAATGCTGACCCAAAGAAAAAATCCACAAGTTCTCTCAAAAGCAGTGCTCTTTTAACCACAATAGATAAATTATTCAGCGTCGTTACATTGCTCCCAACTTTAAATCTGCATGCATCACTGATCATGTGACCACTAGAAGGCAGCAGATCTATTTAAAAGAAGGTTTAATGAGCAGAGGGTGCCTATACATGTGCAGCAGACACTAACATGCTTTTTCCAGGATATTCCAGAAGTTTTCTTTCAAATGTTCATGATGACATGCCAAAGTCGATTGTCATCTATAAAGGTTCAAATATTTAAAAAGAAGCAAGAATTAAAATGAATGATTGTTTACATTGTCTCTGGAGAAACCAGCACAATACACATTACCCATCATTTGTGGGGGGATACCAGTCCAGTGTCAGACAAAATGTTTCCCTGAACAGGCAGAAAGCACCTCGAGTGAGCCACTAAATGATGTTTGCACGTTGAGATTTATGCTTTTTCATGTCCATCTCGTGCATCCATGTTTCCATTCTTGTGAAAACAGCCTTAAATAGCAAGCAATCAAATCCTTTTAGAAAATAGCAGAAAAGAAGTTACTTCCATAGTTTCCAAGGCCAGTACCACATTTGTTGGTTAAAGTATGAGGCAGTACTTTGAGACTAAACTAAAAAAAAATGAACATTGCAAGCTTTAGATGGTCACCTTCATTTAGTTGTAATTTGGTTATAATTGCCTGCTCCTTCAATTTTCTTGCGTTCATTCGGTCAAAAAGATGCAGACCATGTCTGCCTGCTCAGAATTAAAAATATTTTATTCTTATGCTTTTGCAATCTGATTGGGATCCAGGCAGATCAGAATGGCTTGGACTGATGAAAAGGACAGTTTGCTGCTCCAGCCAAAGTATTTTCAGCATTCATCAGCCTGCTTAGGAGCAAATTACAGCTGAATGAATGTATGCAGCAATTAAACCAACAAACAACAAAATGATTTTAATGACAAAGAATTCAAACAACTTCCTGACTGAATGTGAGGTGTTTAAAGTGGTTTCTGGCTGTCTGCGTTTAAGAATTCAGACAAAACATGCAATAGTTAAGCACAAAATGAAATAATAATCACACTTTTATCATCAGAGACCACAGAGAAGCAAATGTGCTCTCTGTTTTTTAATGCAAGCGTTTGCATTACAAATTCCAATAAAAAGACAAGTTTATATATTCAGAAAAGAAATTAAACTTTGCTCATAAAGTCACAAGAAGAAAGTATTGACTTGTTCAAATAAAATGGATTTCTTAGACAAAATAAAGTTTGCCTTAAGAAATTCAGAGTTGTCGGTAGAAAGAGCCCTAAAATCCGTAGATGCTTACTGTAGGATTTCAATCCTCCATCTGGGTTCTGAGATGTCAGCACAGATATGCTTCAAACTTCTCCATCCACCGTAGCTTTTTTTCATAAATATGCAGGTCACTGCTTCAGACAGACCCGAGCTTAATTCCAAGCTCAATAATTTACTGACCTTTGTGTCAGTGTTTAATCTTCAAAGGTAACATTTTGCTTCATCAATGAAACAAAACTATGTAAAGGTGGAGCAGACTGCCCATGACTGACAGGGAGCCAACAGCATATGAGTCGTGACACATTCCCCGGGAATAGCGCCGCTCTGTTGACTCACTGAGGCTCCTGATGCTGATTGGTTCTGACACACTGGCACGAGGATAATAGCGGGACTGTCATGATACACTCCGGGCTCACTTTCACACAGGCTTTAGCCAAACTAGTGAGACATAAAAAGCACTTTTCAAGTTTGTAACAAATGAATTAAAAATACATGCACAGTCACAAAAAACCTGCCGACACAAAGGGCAAAAAGCACCACGATGCTCGTAAAATCATTTTTACCCCAACTCAGCGGGATGACGTGTTCATTAACAAAGAAAAACATTCTTTATCAAGGACTTCCCAATTCAAACGAGGACGTTGCTGCTCTTAATGAGCCCAGATGACATTTAATCGTACATATTTAAAGTTGCACCCTTTTCCTGCTCAGACTGTACGGTTGTCTTTGCTTGTACCGCAGGGAAGGTCAGGGAATGCTATTTCTATTTGGATAAATAGAACGTATCTTATCAAAGACAATCTGTGCTATAAAACGTATACTTTTGTCTACATAGTTGCAACCAACACTTGTCCAGAGTGCACTCCACCTATCGCCCAGCGACAGGCCTCACAGTATGGGAAAAAGGTGCTGACTGGGTAATGTTTCACATCTCTTCTAATAAGTCCGAATTCTAACAGGCTTTCTTCATATTTTTCCCAAGGTGGGAAATATAAATATAAAAATATACAACCACCACCCACCGACACCGACCTGACAGCTTGGGGGGAAAAGTGTCCCATAAAAGCAACCGTTTTTTCATATTAACCTCTAAAAATCTAAGTGAAACAGAGAAAATGCATTAACTAGCCAGCTGTTATTGTCTGTGATGGGATCTTTTAACAACTTGGCCCAGTTCCACAATTGATTGATGACAAGAATGTCCCTAAAGGAGGAAACAGTCCAAAATAGCTACAAGTGAAGGAAACTTTTTCTATTGGCTGATGTGTTGTAGTGTGAGCTTTCCGGGTGTTTGCTGCGTGAGTATCTGGAATCCATAAAAGCCACCGTAAAGAGCCTCTGACAACATGGAAGCAAACATTAATCTGATTCCCTCTTCAGCACATAATCTATTCATCAATAACAACCTTTCCTTATAGGAAATACCCATGATTGCATATTGTCCGTGTCAAATTGTGACGTCCTCTTGATTCAATAAAACACACTTTGTTATACTCATTTAAAGCATGGATAAAATTGCATCCATCATAAATACCTAGGATATTTTTTTGTAAAGAGTCACCTGTAGCTGAATTGTCAGTGGGTTGACCAACTGGAAAGAAATGTACTCGTTTCAAGCCAAGCATTAAAGTTAAAGCATGAATGAGCGTCACTTTGATGAGCGTGCTTTAACCTTCCAGTAAGTGTGGCTAAGGAAGAGCGACATGAGTAGGTTTGGGTCTGTTTTTGCAGCCTCAACTACAGGGGGAAAAGAAAAAGAATGAAAGACAACAACGTGGTGCCAAAGTGGTCTCAAGCACAAATATCAGGATTTCGGTTCCTCCACCATCATTCTAAACCTTCTTTTGCGCGGAAGACCTTTAGAATGACCATAGTCAATCATGGAGTATGTTTTTTGTGGTAAACTGATTAAAAGATTTGGAACAAACTCCTGAGACAAGACAACAACAAAGATGCAACGGTGGCAAAAAGAGCACGATCTCCCCTGCCGGGCTGCAAAAGCTGAGTGTACGAGCTTTGAATCTTTTTAAGGTGGTAAAATTTGCTGCTATTTAAAGCTCCTGTTTAATGATGCATGGGGCTAATAGTGCGAAAAGGTGTGGGGGCCACTTGGGCATTCATCCGCTGCATGCTGCAGGGCATTTGAATATGAAAACTCATCTAATTCTTGCTGATCAATGGACAAACTAAACAAAGCAGATTGTAAAGTGCTGGGGATATAAAGACTAACTCCAACACGACCACTGCCGCCATGGAAATGGCATACATTAGCTTTACAAAGTGCTGCTAATAGCGAGCTTCCCGCAGAAAAATATAATTCTGCCCTAAAATGTCTTTTATTGACCGTACACAAAAAGAACTATTGTTGTACATGCACTTATTCGGTAGCAACAGCAACTAGCTGCTTAATAAACTTCATAGAGTAGTACTTCTTTATCCAGGTTTTGCTGAGGATTAAGGCGGCAACTTTCAAGAGCTGGGCTCTGTAAATACTGCCTGCCTGTAAGGGGGACTAGGTTTGGCTTTTCTTTTAATTGCTAGGAGCTCATTAGTCTCTATTGCATGAAGAATCAGGCACAGA